TGGGGGGGGGGAGGGAGGTGGTAGTGGCGTGAGATGGGGAAGCGTACGAAAAGACAAGGGAAGCATGGGCATGAAGTGCAGGCCATAGCTGTAAACGCAAGGATCTGGCTAACAAATACTCAAAGTCGGGCCTCGGCTGCTTCAAGAACATGTCAAGCAAGCGACACACCTGGTGAAGACGATAGGAGATGAGATGCGCGGCGGCAAAGGCCAACGCAAAAGCAATGGCGGTCGCGCATTTGGCGACGACCGACACCCGTCCGTCATAAACCTGCATAGCAATGGAGATTGGGTTGAGAGAATGTGCATGTCGAGGGTGACGGTCAGCGGTGGAAGCTGTGTCAATCGCGGGCCAGCTCACGAACCAAAGCGAGGGCAAGGGGAATGCAGCAGAGGGCGATCCAAGTGTAGACGTGCAGAACGTTGATAAAGCGATGGGCCGAGCGCTCGAGGCGTAAGCCACCAAACAAAGATGGCCAAAAGCCTTGGGAGAAGAAAACGGCGACTTCGTCGCCATCTGCCATGGCGATGGTTCGCGCAGCTCAAGGTCTCGACACGAGTGAAGGCTGACACGTCAGTCAATGCTGAGACGCCCCGGACAGGGCGACGCGGCTCAGCGCGGGTGGCTCTGTTTCCCCGTGCACATGATCTGCATTGGAAACGGCAGGCTGCTCAGCTGGCTTGATGGGCTTGCTACTGGTGCGACCAAGTATACGCGGTGCGACACGGCGCTGCTATCAGAGAGGACAAACAGGCTGTGTGCTGGTGGAAGGCTCAGCTTTGTGCTTGCAAGGGCAGCAATGCGCGAAGCAAGTCGTGCCGGATATTGGCCCCGTCTGCTTGTCAATGCATGCAAACAGAACACCGATATCAGCATTTTGTGAGCGAGCAAAGGAATAAGCCAGGTACGGTCCCGCGCCGCGCTGCGCAGGCAACAGCAGGTTGCAGTCGCATCATCAAAAGGCCAACGTCACAAAGTCACGTCGTCTGTGCCCCCTTGGCCCCCGATTGACCTCGACAGCGGCTTTCCTTCCGTCCCTTCTCGTCCAGCACCAAGCTGCACCACGCCCTCGTCGCTGCTCACCGGACAGCACCCCCAAATGCCCATCAACGGCCAGACTTGACCCTCTCCAACCACGTTCCAGTGACCGTGGGCGCTGCCCTTTCATTCCATTCTGCGGTCACGACTCACCTCTTGCCCAAATTTGGCTTGAACAGAACAACATGCAGCATATATCGTAGATAATGACGATGTCTACGGGCGAGCAAAGCAACAACAAGCTGAAACAAATGAGAAGAAGATGTAGTCCAATATAGGGTTTGTGAAGACACCAACAGCTGGTATGGGTATTGTCAGATAATATTGTCAGATTACGACTGTCGCATAACGACATCCCACCCACCAGCCGTGATGGCGGCAGTGTGGAACCGGAGCGGTCGGGCGGCTTTGGCAGCGCGGTGCAGGGGCGGGGTGTGGTTGGGCTTGAGCGCGGTGTGCGCTGGACTGGCGCGGAGGGAAATGCGAACGAGCGAGGTGCTGCGGCGTGGGGGTATCTCAACTTTGTTTCAGCGGCGACGCCAAACGCCTCACAACCTGCCTTATCAGCTGGTTACCAAGGCGCACGCACCGGGGGACGGCGATATCTTGGCAGTGCCGGAGCACATAGCTCGTCCGCCCTACATTGTCGACCCAAACGTGGCCCTACCGGACGTGTTTCACGATGACGTGCCCATCTTACCAGCGGCGGATCGCCCGGCACTGCGGGCCGCGGGGCGCCTCGCAGGCCAGACGATGGCGCATGCGTGTGCCTTGGCCGTGCCGGGCTGTAGCACGGCTGAGCTCAATGCGCAGGTGCACGCCTTCATCGTGGGACACGATGCCTATCCATCCACCGTCAACTACATGGCCTTCCCAGCGGCCACTTGCACAAGCGTTAACAACTGCATCGTGCACGGCATTCCTGCACACAACGTCGTCCTACAGGAGGGCGACCTTATCAGCATTGACATTACCGTCTACTTTCAGGGCCACCATGGTACGAACGGGCCTGGCTCAACACGTCAGCCCCGCCCCACCCATGCCGCCTCAGCTTGCCGCGCCACTGTCCTTCTTTATTCTCTCAGTTGATTGCACCCCTTCAGAAAAATAAAAAGAACTCACTTTTGACGTGCGGTGCACGCTGTAGGCGATCTGTGTCGAACGGTCCTCGTGGGGGCTGCGCAGGATGATGTGGCTCCTCGCTTAGTACAAACGGCCCGAGAAGCCTGCGAAGCTGGCATCGCTGCTTGTGGTCCAGGTCAAGAGTACGTACTGCCACCCTCATCAAAGTAGAACCCCCCGCTCCGCGTGTCACCCATACCTTGACTGTGCCCTTATCCCTCGGGCCGACGCCAACGTAGGTATTCGGACATTGCGCGTGCCATTGAGACCCATGTCGAGAAACAAGGCTTCTTTGTAAGCCCGTACTTTACAGGCCACGGTATCGGCAAGCACTTTCATCAAGCCCCTGGTGTAAGATTTCTGGTCGCCATGTACAAAGGCACCTGACTTGCGTCTCGGCCTCTCAGCACCCTACCCTTCGCCCAACACTTGATAGATCCACCATGAGACACAAGTTGACTCGGCTAGCGACCTCCGCATGCTGCCCGGCCACGTTTTCACGATTGAGCCCATCATTCACGAGACGTCAAACGTTGAGTTTGAGATTCTTTCGGATAATTGGACTGCCCTTACGATGGACGGCAGTCGCACGTCCCAATTCGAGCAAACCATCATGATAACCGAAACGGTAGGCAAGGGTCCTATCGCGATGGCGATGGCAGCAACGCAAGCGCTGGTTGATGTAGCACGCTTGAATCTCATGTCGCGCCCTGCGTCCATCGGCATGTCTTAGGGCGTCGAAGTGTTGACCGCTTTTGAATAAATACCAAGAACGGCCGGTGGTTTCTTTGAAGCGCCCTGTTGATTTTTTCTTATTCCAAAGCCACTGCTCGTGTGTTTGACCAAACCCGACATGTAACCAAATACGGCTGGCATTTGTGTATTGACCTTGGTGCGAGTCGCGGCAACCGTGCACGGGCAATGGACAGCAATTTTTCACGTCTATTCTTGATCACTCGTGGAACCTTATGCGATTGATCGCTGCTACGTATGGCAGTTTTGGTGGCTCACACGCGTGATGGCCAGGGTGGAAAGTGTTTCCCCACGCAATGCCAACTCAATGGAGGCAGGCTTTACATAGCAGGCGGAACCTGATCGAAAAAGCCTACGGCTTGGAGGTCCGCTTGCAACGCAGGCCAGTTGGACTCATCAAAGTTGGTTGCAGGCAGGCGGCACGGTCCAAGATCAACGTTGGCAATGCGACGGTAGACGGCACGCTCCGCAGAGCCACCGCCATACTTGCTAAAGACCGCCATGGCCTGGGTATCACGACGGCCAGTTAGTCAAGGATGTGAAGGCAACTTGGCCCTCAGTCAGGAGGGACACGGGGCGATACAACCACAGCGTACCGAATATTTCCAGGCTTGTTCCGTCTGAGCCGCCGTGATGTTGCCCCTGAGCGAGTGAATCCATACGATTGCAATGGCCCAAAGCGTGAGACGTTTGCAAACAGCAGGCCAGGCCGCCCAGCTTGGAGTTGTCAATCATGTCTGGGTTGGCTCATGCCCCAGAGGCATTTTCGTTTCGTACCGAACAAAGTGCTGGTGCATGCGGAGATAGGTAGGTGCGAAAAAGTCTTCAGCCAGGACGGTGCCACGGCCAATGCCTGTGGGACAGCAGCCACACCATCGTTCATGTGAGAGGAGTCCGAGCTGCTGAACACAGGGAGGCCGAGAGAAATCAATGTGCGATTATGAGGCGGTGAGAACGGGACATACCCAGGCCAAAGGACTGCAGCTTGGGCTCGGGGGCAAACATGAGGACGTGGGAGTTGTTGTAGCTCTGGACAATGTTGTACCAGTCCAGGGTATCGCTGTCGACGTACTTGATGCCAAGAAGAGCCTGTGGTGGTCATTTGAAGCAGATGATGAGCAAGCATGGATGACAGGCAGCATACAAACAGTCTTTGTCAAGGGAGAGTTGCGATGCGATGCAACGCACTGGCAAGCTTTGCTCGGCTTGGGAAATGAGATCCTGCATCTTAACGCTGTAGCCGGTTGATCCAGGAATGTGATAGCTAAGGAAGAAGACAGTCGGTCAGTCAGTCAGTCGGTCAGTCAGTCAGTCAAACCGGTGGGTGGCAACCATCTTGCCTTCTGAAGGCACTCTTTTGTGGATCAAGAGAGCACCCCAACATTGTCAAGGCGCGGGCGCAGGCAGCTACTGACTAGTAGAGGGGAAGGGGATAGGCAGCCTCGACGATGGGCTTGAAGAATTCAATCAGTTCCGAGATGGAGCCCGGGTTCTGGTAGTAGGGGGGAACAGAGGCCACGGCATCGGCACCCACGGAGAGCGCATGCTTGGCCATGGTCACGGCATCGGCAAGTACGGTCGTGCCCACGTGGGCAATCACGTAAAGGCCATAAGGCTTGGCAGCCTCGACCCAAGCCTCATTGATTTTCTTCAAGCAGAGCGACCATATCATTCATGATGAGGCCACACGCAACTTTGGCACGTGTCAGATTTTGGCCCAGCAAAACGTACCATGCGCTCTTCGACGGTGAGCGTGTAGAACTGCCCCATGCCACCACAGGTCCAGATGACCGTGACGCCGTATTCGGAAGCACGCTTGGCCAAGGAAGGGATCGCCGAGATGTTCAACGACCTAGATGCCCGGGGAAAACAATCGGGTTTCCATGTCAGGCTATGAATCACGACATCGGAGATGGAAAAAAAAGAAAAAAACAAACAAACAAACATGCAAGTCGGAGAAAATACAGCAGGCGTTATTGGTCTAACCAGGAACCGTCATCCAAAAAAGGGGTGAGGGGAGCATGAAGCACAGCCATGGGGGGCACTTGATTCAAAGCCTGTGCACGCCACGTCGAGTTCCAACGTTCCTGCACGCGCACCTGCAACAACGCGGCATCGAGTTTTACCTTGTCAGCACCAAACTTCCCCAGCAAACACCCCTCATTGCTGCATTGCACCTTCACCCACACCCCTTTACCACTCCGCAAAGTGATCTGGGAACATGATCTCACCTGCACAACATCCGCTTGTGCCCCGGCGACCAAGCCGACCAGGGCCAACGCAAGGCAAGCAGCGATGGCGGTGTGACTCATCATCTTCTTGTTGATGATAAAAAAAAACGCAACAGAAACTTGATATTTTGCGACATTTACTGGTATTCATTTTACCTTTATATATGGTTAGAAGGTATAAAAGCCAATGATGATCTACAAAAAACACCGCTACTAACACTAAGCGAGATCCCAATGTCAACAAAATGTGAAAACTGTTGTTGTGGACAGTTGTTCTTTATTTCAGAGCCACTTGTTTCCACACGTGTCAGACGCATTTACCCAAAAATAAATTAGGAGTGGCAACAGAATTCGCGGACATGCAGGCAAGCCCACTCCTGGGACTAGTGGGGCATGGGCCGCATGGAGATTGGGGTTCGGGACAGGCTCAGGGATTGAGGGCTGGACCAGTGCCAATCAGGCTTCAAGAGAAAGTTGCAACACGGCTCTTCATACGCGACGACGATAAGGCATGTCCGCAAACACACAGTGTGTCCCCCAATCCTTCGGTGTCCAAAGGAAGAAAGAGAGCAGCAGCAGCAGCAGGAGAAGAAGAAGAAGAAGAAGACGAAGAAGAAGAAGAAGAGCAGGAGGGGATCCGACGGACAGGGATGCGCGAGCATGAAAATAAAATTTTAAATAATATTATTCGAAAAGGTGACAGATTGGCGCTCGAAAACCCGATTGCTGACCCTTAGGGCTGGTAGCCATTCAATGACCAGAAAAACAAGCTCTTGAAAATGAAAGTGAGACGCATGAAATCACAGGGCCAGCTCGCGATCCGTAAACCCGTGTACTCTTCTTTGACTTCGGAAGGATGGATGGTGTCGGATCGGGCGCGCGATGCCAGTCAACTGAACAGCAGTCATAGACAAAACAAAAACCAAACAAACACCAAACGCACCAATCGTGTGTGCGAGAGAATGTGTGTGTGTGTGTGTGTGTGTGTGTGTGTGTGTGTGTGTGTGTGACAGATGCTCACCCTACCGACTTTATCAACACAAAAGGCCGAAGACGTTTGGTGCTTTGTGATGGTGTGTGTTCAGGTAAGATGCTGGAGCCGTTCTCTTTTGCTTCACCTGCGCCTTGTGTGTGTGTGTGTGTGTGTGCGCGTGCGTGTGTGTGCTCGCCTTGTGGCTTTGCCGCTGTGAAGGCGGCTGAGCGTCGAACGCCAATGTGTATTTGCGCAGGCGTATGGTTCACCAGTGCTGGGCTCGGGGGCTTGAGGGTCTCCGACACGGTGTGCGACAGTCGAATGAGGGTGATGAGGCTGGCAGCGTACAGTTTGGACGTTGACCGGTCAACATGGCCCAATCTTCGGGCGTGTTGCTTCACAACCGCTACTGGCTCTGCGAGGTGCTTGGTCTCGGCGCCACAGCCCTTGTTCGCAAGGCCCTCGACATGAATTGCAGTACTGTTGTGGCGCTCAAGTTTTTTCATCGCGGTTGTGAGCACAGTTACGCTCGTGAGCTGGCAGCCCTGCAGGAGCTCACGGATGCCCCCCACGTTGCACGTTTGCTGGATCACTTTTCCACTTCTTCAGGCCAATACGTTCTGGTATTGACCTTTATGCCCGGTGGTTCTTTGTACGACCGAATCCGTCCGTCTACCACGGCTCTCATAACCATGGCTGACATTCGGCGGTGGTTACATCAGCTGTGCCTGGCTGCTCTGCAGTTTGAGCAGCGTCAACTCGTGCATGGTGACATTAAACCCGAAAACTGCCTCATTGATGAACAGGGCAACCTTGTGCTACACGATCTTGGCACAACGGTGGCCCGCCACTCACAATGCGCCGCAGAGACGCCAGGAACCCACCTATACCTGGCTCCCGAAGCCCTCGCCTGCTCACACAATAACAGCGCTCAAGATGCTTGGGCGATAGGCTTGGTCTTGTATGCATCGCTGTTTGCCGATCTTCCATGGCCACGTGCCGACAACGGCTGCCCATCCTTTTATAACTACCGGATGACGGGCCGGCTTCCACTCAGCGATGCACAAATGACCATGATGAGCCCGGCGCTGCGGCCAGTGCTATGGCACCTGCTTGCTCCAGATCCAGAGCAACGCATGTCCTTGCAAGCTGCCGCCGCCTTCTTTGCAGCCGATTGCAATTGGTTTGCACCCACCTCTCTCTCGGGCGTCATGGTGGCCATGCAGCCCTCTCGTCGTGTCTTGGTTCAACAAAGCGACGATGCCCCTCAGGAGCGTCATGCAAGCCTGGGTACCCACGCAACAAGGGCGTCTTCAATTGCGAGTCCCCCAGACTCGCCCGCTTTGACCATGGAGCCACGGCACCCAGCCTTAGCCCGTGTTCAAGCCCTCAGCGCGCAAAGGTCGGCCAGCACGCTAAGTTCGACCGCACAGCCAATACCTGGCCTTCCCGTATGGTCCTGGAGTGATGCGCCTCCTGACAAAGCCTCCCACAATACGCTCAATGGGTCTGAACCAGTCGAGAGGATAAAGCCGCCCCCGCAAACTGATGCACAACCCTTGTTGAAGCGCACAGTCTCCAGCTTGAGTTGTGCACATTCCACTTCACCCCAAGAAGTACACCTTGGATGCGAACCCACACCTGAACTTGATCTCAAACAGGAACCAGAACAACCCCTAAAACACCTTCTTGAACCACAGTCTGAGCCCAAGCCCAAATTCAAACTTGAAGCTGAGCCTGAACCCCACTCAGCCACTTGGTCGGCCTTACGAAAACTGAGTGGGGATCCAGAATGATCTTGATCTTCCGTCTCTTTGGCTCGAGGTCGAAGGCATTTCCCATGCTCGCACCCCACGTACTTAGTCCAGTATCTATTCAACATAGCTATCTCAGGTCCCTGTCATTTTACTTGTGTGTTCAAAGGCAATATGCCTGGCCTTCCAGTGTTTAACCTGTGCTTTACTTCTCCTCACTGAGGATATAATCGAAAAAAGCGAGAAATGATTGGTTTGAGCACAATCCTCAACTCCTTGGCGCGACGGCAGACCTGCTGCTGCCACCCCTCGTCCCCCAGAAGTACAAATCGAGAAGAGACAAACGCGAGTCAAAGAGGTGTGCGGAACACAAAACACCAACTAATCTAAAAGACACTCGCTCTGTGTCACTTAGGCGTCGAGGTTGACGGTCATGGTTGAGCAGAAGGTGCTATTGTACGTGGCGGGGACGGTCGTGACGCCCGACAGCATGTTCGTGACTCCGTAGACGTTGTGCGCAAAAAAGTCAACTTGGCTTGCAGCATCCACTTGAACAATGTCTTGCTGCACGCCATAAAACCAACTACTCCAGCACATGTCGACACCATGAGCATCGGCCACCAGAAAGGCCAAGTGCCTTCCGCGTGGGCATTTCGAGATGGATAAGGGCCAAAAGTGCACATACCTGTAATAGCCAGTACCATACATGGAAATGTTCTTGCTGTTGCCAATTGTCAAGGCCCAACTAGTTGGGGGGCCCTGTCAAGACATTGCAGTGTGCTTCGGTGAGACAAGAGACACTGTTGAATGGCGCAGGCTCGTCGTTACGCCCGTGGCCCTTCCGCAGACCTGATCCTGCTGCCTTTTATCAAATGCGCGCACCCTTGCATACCTGCCAGTATGGCGTCTCAGTTTGGGTAACCACGGCCACAACATGGCTCGAGTCGGTGATGTTGTAATTGTATTGCGCATTGTGTTCGACGGCCGTGCCGTACATTGTGAGGTCTTGCGCACCCTCCAACAGCAGGCCGCCTTGCACCACGGCTGTGACATTGGTGTTGGAATCGATGTTGTGGTCTGCGGTCCAAAGCCAAGAGTTTTCCAAGTAGCCCCCGGCACCGGGGGTCACGTGCATCAGCATGCTGGCGTTGAAGTACACACGGGCATGAACATCGTGCATGGTGCTGGCGGCGTCGGCATTCCACTCGAGCAAGATGCAACCCAGCGCGTTATTAAGCAGGCTCAGCGTAAGATCAGCAAGCAGAACGCGATCGCCCGTTTGAAGCATGGGTTGAGGGTTGCTTGGGTCGGCAAAGGCACTTCCAGTGCCATCAGCTGACAAAATTGACAGGGCTTCCCCCACCAGGCCACTGCCTGATGGAATGGTCACTGTACTTGTGATACGGTAGTTTCCATACGGCAAGAACACAATCTTGCCGGTGTTCAAGGCCGTTTGCAACGCTATGGTGTCGTCGGTCTGGCCATCACCTTTGGCGCCGTAGTCATAAGCACTGACTACGGCGTTGTCGGCCACCACAGGCAGAGCCCGCTTCACCAACGGCCCACTGGGTGCTGGAAGACTGCCAGTGGTTGCAGCCATCAACTGAGAGGCATTGTAAAGGGAGCCCTGGAACCAGCGATCAATGTGACCCGAGCCAGACACTGCCGGCATGGCCTGAGTCAAACTTTGAATCTGATTGTAGGCAAAATTCTGCAGCACCATGCCGCGCAAAGCCGAGGGATAGTCGGTGACGATTGCGGTCCCAACATTGGAGAAGGTTGAGTCGATCAAGACAAAGCTACCCGCTGAGGCACCTTGGAAGGTGAGTCCCACCGGTGAGTTGTTGATGGTGAGGTCTACCAGGGTGAATACCCAGTCCCAGCTGAGTTGAAAGCCGACTTGCGCCGCATTGTTGACAGTGATGCTCCGCAGCGACCATTGCTGGCCACCTGGTGAACGGAAACAACAACAACAGCAACAACAACAGGAAAGAGCCGTGAGATGAAAAACGACGGCACCGCACAGCTTGGACGGGAGCAATCACTAAAAACAAAAACATCCAAGTTGATTGGCGACAAGACACTACGAGCACGAATGGATGGGACGCACCAACGCTAGCACCAATTTGGCCGCCATTGATTACCAAATCTCCGATGAACCCTCCGCCGCCACTTTCGACAAAGAGGCCCATGTGCCCATTATTCACATTGACAGTGACGTTTCGGATGGAGGTACCTGCTCAGGGAAGCATGGATCACGCGGCCGTGTTGAACAAAAAATAGGAAATGAGGTGCAGGTGCACTTTGCGGATGATCCTGAGCAGACGATGCGACTCACCTTGGGCAACAGCCCAATGAATGCCCACAGCGTTGGGATTGCCATCGCCAATGTCGATGATTACATTTTGCAGCTTATGATAAAAGTTGCTCACGTGTGAACCTTGGTTAAAGTTGGTCGCCGTCACCACATAGGCTTCTACAAACAAGACAAAATCGAACAGAAGAAACAGTGAGGCTGCCTGGGTCAATCGGCCAGCTGGACGCAAACTATATGATATAAGACTATATGATATATAAATATGACTCAAAAACGTACGGCTCATGGTTGTGGAGGAGTTTGCCAGTCGAATGGTGGGCGGGCAGCGCCAATTGCCAACGAGGTGGGTGTAAAAGTACATGGCCAGCGTGTCATGTACGACATAGGTGCCAGGGGGCAAGTAGACCACCAAGGGCGTCTGTGCACGATTCGCCCACCGGAGCAGGATCACAAGGGCAAGGGGTGGCGAGTGAGCAAACATGGATGCTTGTTCTCCGTCGCAAGCCCAGATCGCATGTCCATGTTCGAGCGCATGCGGCGGCGGCAGAGAAAGCAGGCCCTACGCCAACGCACCCAACCAAAACGTTTTGGTCGGAGCGTGGCAGCGGCCAGCCTCGTGGCGCCCACACACAGCTGAAATTCGGGTAAAACCCGTCTGTTCCTACCTTCAAGGTAAAGGGTGTGCTGCGGCCCTCTGTTAGAACACGCTGCAGCGCCGCCGTGTCATCGGTCACGCCATCGCCCGCGGCGCCGTAGTCCTTGGCATTGCGGAAGGCCGACCCGTGTTCAGCAACATCGTACCAGGTCACACATTCGTCGTCGCCCACGTGAGACGCTTGTGGTACACTCCCGCAAGCCCGCGTGGCCAGCCCAAGCGCCAACACAAGCACTATCATAAACCCCAAACCCCTCTGTGCCATCTTGTCCAGTGGTGTCGCTGCCCTTTTGAGGCTCGCCTCGCTCCGCGAAAGATAAGACAGCAACACAAGAGAAAAGAAGAAAAGAAATAGAAAAAAAGAAAGGAGAGCCACATCAAAATAATAAAATAAAGGTACCACGTGTAAAACAAGAAAGAACTGTGTACATGTCAGACAAAAACTCGTTGTTGTGGCCAAGATTTCCCGCCCAAATTTGAAAAGCAGGATCGTCAGAGAAGGTGTTTGTTGCTGTTATTTTTTTTGGGGGGGGGAAGGGTACTCACGCTTGATCTCACGCTTGACACGACCTTGGGTTGCTTCCCGGACGACTGGTGTCATGGCCGTCAAGGGCATCCAGCTGCTTCAGCGCTTTGAGCACGTTACCGGTGCACGACAGCGGTATCTCTCCGAAGTGCAGCGTCGTGAAGAAGTGCTGGGCGACATCCTCAATCGCCTGGGCGTGAGTCTGCCTGCGACTTGGCCCTGTCTCCTGCGCGACCAAGAGAAAGACTTGCGCCAACAGGTTTCCCAGGCCTAATCTTCGCCCCGCTCTCCTGCCACTTAGGTTGATGAAGAGGAGACCTCGGAGCAATTTCTGGCCCAGTTTCAGAAGTTGCAGGATGATGTGGCGGCGGAGTCAGCGCGCTGCACTCGAGCCACGCAACGCATTGCGGCTCTGCAAGACGAGAATGAAGACATGAAGCACGAAGTGCGCATGCTCGTGGACCGCCGTCTCCTGGCCGAGCAGCAACACCAGGAACTCCTTGCCATTCTTCAGGATGTGTACCAGACCATCAAGATGGACGAGGGCGCAGACGCTCATCTGACGGAGAACATCACCACGAGCTTTGTCCAGCTTGAACGCTCTTCCCGCAACTTTCAGGAGCGCCGCAACTCTCACTTGCACACCCAACGCCTTTCTCAACTCGTTGAGATTGATACAGACGATGACTACACCCGCCCCGGCACACCAGAATCCAGTGCCGCGACACCTACCGGCGGCACCCGCTGCCCTCACTCGCCTCAGCCGGCACAGCGCTACAATCTCATCACCTCCTCTGTTGTTCCACGCGACCTCTCGGAGCCTCCGAGCGACGAGGAGCCGGAAATCGAGGACGACCGTGCAGACAACGCCTTGTCTCACGCGCCACTCCAAGTGCGGAGTCTCGACTTTTCCGAACCAGATCACGTTGATGCCCCGCACGCGCGCCGCCGCCCACCGCAACGCCGACCCTCAACCATCAGCACGCGCACGCTCACGGCTGCCTCCTCGTCAGCCTCTCTGTGCTCGGTTCAAACCCTGTGTGCCGCTCCGTCAGCCCCACTTTCACCGGAGAAGCCCGTGTCATCAAGCCGAACCAAACACTCTGGCGAGCACCGTGAGGAACCCGACATCAACGCCACGGTGGACGAGACCATTGAAGCTAGCACGCTGGAGGATGGCCCTCAGGCTCGACCCATTCAATTGAAAAATCTGGCACCAGAACACGTGGAGGAGCACTACCGCGCCCGCCAGCGCCGCCGCACTCGCCTGCACGACGTTGTCAAGCACAAGTGCCCAGGCCGCAAGCGCACCTGTGACCAGTGCCATACCAAAATGTCCCGTGGAGGGGAGCACTTTCGTTGCCAACAATGCGCGTCGCACTTCTGTGGAGCTTGCCAACGCATTGGCGTACGTTGCTCAAGTTGTGCCCATGGCCTCGGTCTCGCCTCCTTTCTAATGATTCTCTGCCCGCGCATTTGGCTCATAGATTGCAGCCACGTGCGTACCTCCCCCATACTGGGATACCAAGGCGGCGAAGAAACGTGCTCCTGTACCTTTTGGACGCAACCTTGAGGTACGCCCCTGATTTTCCAGATTGGCTTGCCACATGCACAACGTCGATTCAAACTCAATGCTAAACGTGTGGTGGCAAACTGTGTCCTGCGATGCAGAACGACATTTTTGAGGGCTTGCAATACGGCCGCAATCGCCTGTTGATGCCCAACCTCATCTTTCAATGCATCAAGGAGCTGGATATCCGCGTGCCTCGCGTAAGTGGAGGGAATATCCCTCTCGGCAATTTCTTGAGTGCAACTCACTGCTTTTCACTTGGCACACACAGCTCAAGGACACGGCGGAAGGCATTTTTCGCAAGCCTGGCTCCGAATCAAGTGTGCAGCGCCTCTTTGCGGCCTACGCAGACGGTGGCAACCCGTGGCTGCGAGACGAAGACGTGGATGATGTATGATGCGCTGGAACTCACTTAATTTGCTTGCCCGACAAACCTTCCCGAAATGCACACCTTGTTGCTGTCATTGCCAATGCATCCCCTTCTTATCTTCGTTTGTCCGTGGCGGCGCGATCACCCAGGTGGCTTCCACGCTCAAGGCATATCTCAAGGGTTTGGACGAGCCCCTGCTGACGTTTCAGTACTACGAACAATTCATAGCCTTGGGGCGCCGTATGTCAGCGCTCGGGACATTGCCGGCGCGTTGATGACTCTGCCGTCCTTGGCTGACTTTCATACTGTGTGTGGACTTGTAGAGTACCAAAACGAGGGCTTTGAGGCCGTTCAAGGCCCGCTTGAGACGTTGGTCGGCCAACTACCGGCGTTGCACTTTTTCTCGCTGTGGTATCTCATGCGACTCCTCCATCGCTTCTGCAAGCACGCGCACAATACGAAGATGGGCCCGAGCCAATACGGCGTTTGCTTTGGGCCCACCCTCCTGCGCGCCCAACGTCCCGAGCAGGAAGCTCTTGACATTGCCTCGGGTGCCACGGCCAAGGTTTGCCTATCGGAATGCAGCCGGCTTTATACGGATCGGCACTAGCGTATATTTTAGGCTCCTGTTTTCATGAGCTAATGTGTGATGCAAATCTGCTCATCCTGCCTTTCTAGGTCATCGAGGCTCTCATCCTGCTGCCCAAGCGAGCCTGGCAGCGCTTGCATGAAGAGGTAGACCTTTGTACCTGTGTGTGCATTTGTGGCTGTCTTACGTTGATCCGAGAGAAAGGCATTCGTAGTCTATCCACACGACCGAGCACTCACGTGAGATATCTGTTGTCTGCGTTTGCCTCTGCAGTTTCTGAATCGCAGCCAGCTGGCATTGGACATCAGCCCCGTACCGACGAAAAAGGTGAGCCTTCACCTTGTGCCGGCTCTGGGCTGAGGATGGAAGTGCATCTGTTGCAACCTCGCCTTGCTTCTCACTTGCGTCCTCTTCCATTATTGGGACACACAGCGCCCGTAATTGCAACTCCTGGAGAATACGAGAGACTGCCGTTACCGCCTGGTCCTCTGCGCACAGACTCAATGTCATGTCAAAAAAAAAGTTCCATTGCCCATATTATGAAGATTTCTTCTTTCGCCCCCCGCAAAATTGACGCCACCACACCATCTTCCTCGCCCCCATGTCGACCCGTCCAAAACCACCGACTCTCGCGTTGACAGCCACAGCCACAAACTCGTCGTCACCCTCCTCAAAAGATGTTTGCATCAAAAAAAATTTCAAATGTGTGTGTGTCACTTTGTGTGAATGAGTGAGTGTGTGTGTGTGTGTGTGTCACTTTGTGTGAATGTGTGTGTGTGTGTGTGTGTGTGTTTGTCACCAGTTTTGTCATCATTTTTGTCATCATTTTTGTGTCTGTTGATGTTTTCCTACATAGCAAAACATCAGCCTACTGTAAAGCGCCCGCGAGGGAGAGGCAGGATGGCGGGGCGATCGGGGGTGCAGCGGGGTCACAGCGCTTGCGTGCTGGGACTGGCTGTTTACGTGGCGTTGCTCTCTTGTACACGCGGTAGTCTGACACTGACGACACCCAGCTCGCTGCTGGTGCTCAACACTGATGGCAGCATCGCCGACCTCCGGGCTCGCACGGCCAACCCGGGCAATTGGAGTTTTGTTCTCGATGCACATCGGCCCATCTTTACTTTCCTGGCGTCGGGCGTCGAACCAACGGGACCCACAAGTAACATATCGGCACGAGACTGCAAGGCCTGGCCGCCCGAACTTGTCAATGCCACGCAAGCCAGAGTGCGCTTCCTGTGTCCCTCCACGCTTGTACCTGCAGCTGCGTTCGACATCACTGTCTCCGTCCAGGCTGATCAAGAGCGCGATCAGGTGGGTAGGACAATTCAACTGCTACCTCATAAATACCCGGTCGGGCTGCTCTGCAAGCCATCCCCTGCTCCTCGTCGCGCCTTGACTCAGTTTGTGGCCGTGTTCTGTCTCTGCGACATCTAGTTCCTTTTTGGTCTGGAACTCAACATCAATGCCACCAATGCCTCAGTGGTCCTCAGTGCCCTCGAGTTTCCCCTCTTGACCATGGCTGCCATCCGTGACGAGATGTTGCTGTCTGAGGACAACATTGTTATGCCTTATGCTGGCGGAACGCGCAACAACATGCCGGGTACGACTCGCATGCTTTGGACCATATACCGGGAACGATGTGCCTGTTGCTTAGGAATTGCGCCTGACCGTCCTGTATACAGGCATTGCTAGTGAGGCCCAATCTCAGATGTATCCAGGCTACGCCTCCTTTCAATTCTGGGCTCGGTAAGTGCCGGATTGAGTGGTTTCTCCACACAGGGTGCTTGGATGCAATTTGACCTAGGTCCGGTTTCAAAGCCCTAAAGCCTCATCGCTTTGTGATTTTACATGTTAGTTATGATACCAAAGCGGGGCTTTATATGGCCACCGAGGACACAAACGGCAAGGCACGATTCTGATTCAGGCCAAGGTTTAGAGCCAACTTCCTCATGCCCCCTCATTTCTTGCTCTGCCCGATAGGTCAAAGAGTTTGTCTACACCAGTGCTGCTCATGACTCGATCAACATAACCGTTCGCCATCATCGCCCATGGATCCCTTTTGATGCAGCCACGCCCTTTTTGCCTTACCAAACGGCACTCCGCACGTTTTCTGGGGATTGGATGACAGCTGCTACATTGTACAAGGCCTGGGCAGGCCAGCAATGGTGGACTCGCACCCCTTTGACGAGGCGTACAGATATCCCCTCCTTTCTCCTCAATGGCACGGGCGTCTGGATAAGTGGTATCAATTCGCAGTCAGGTTTTAATCCCAACCGGTTTGGCCCTCATCTTGAGCAATTGCCAGCCTACATTGCCGCACTTCGTGCTCGCAGCGGCTTTCGTCATGTCGTTCATGTACCCTATGGGTATGTTCTACGGAATGTCGCATCAAAAGAAGCAGCAAAAGACCAAGAGATGGAGACCGGCCATCAAAATGCAGCTTGCTACCTTCTGTCTCACTCGACTCTGTGGGTGAGCTCGCTAGGTGGGAGCACGACGGAACGTGGGCTGGAATTGATTACCTGCCCCCGCAACCATCCGCAGACGCTTGGCAAAACGCAACGCAGCAACTCCTGGCTCAGGTGGGGACGTGCAGCAAAAAGGGACTTGAAATGCCTTTGCAAGCCCAAGGCAGTCGCCTCAAACGGGCGTTATCAGCCTCATCAGTGCCCCTGCAACCGCACGCGCCCCTTGACACGTGCGATCCAGGGAGATCAAGTCGCCTTCTTGGTTTCTGGATTTTGGTGGGTGGTTCGGCGTCAACAGAGCTCCAATGGACCAGCATTCAACCACACGACGCAAATGCTGGCGCACCAGAGCATGCTTGTTCGCAACAACGATCAAACTTGTGCGTAGCCCACTGATGGACGCCCAGACGTGTCGCGCCGGCTCTTGCCTGGCATCTGCTAGATGACTTTTGCTACCTCTGACATCCGTCTCGCACTCTTCTTACTTTGATTTCATGGCCCGTGGGCCATAACATGGGATTGGAAAGGGCAGTGGCGGCAGTGGATGCCTACAACGAGCCCGAGGGGCCACAGGGCTGGCGAGGATACTCCACGCGCCTTTGCCACGGATCGCGTGAGGCCCAAACGGTGCTTGGCGCCATCTTCCACCAGGTGAGACGGGAGTTGACCGGCCCAAAGCATCGGTGCGGTGCCGGAGAAAGTCTATGCCACCTCTGATGTCAGCTCACTCTCTCTATCTTGCTGGACGCGCATGCCGTAAACAGGTCAGTGCTCTCAACGTTTCGTTAATATCATTTGATCAAGAAATAGGGGGTGGCGCACGCTACCCCTGCTACGCCAACAATCACGGGCATGCCCTGGGGTGGGGCCCCTGGATGTATCACGAATTTGCCCAACTTGTCCAGGAAATCAAGGCCAATGCGACACACCAAGGTAGAGTTTCGCTTGCAAAGCAGTTCCCGCGCACGAGTTCTCAAGTGCGGATGGACTGCCTGCGCAGGTCAAACCATAGGCATCATGACGGAACAAGTCTCCGAGCTGACGATACCATTGATGGCCACTTACTGGTCTCGACAGTTTGCGCAACAGCACTATTTCTTTTTCCGAGGGTATGGTGAGCCCATCTTCAATTTTTTGTATCATGAGTTTGTCACTACGATTGGTGCAGCCGAGGTCCAAGGACAAGGCGAAGTGGCCCAGTACCGCAGCGTTGTGCTACGCCGAGCGGTCATCGGCGACTGCGTGGCACGAGGCATGTTGCAAGGGCCTTTTGATAGCGACGTCAGCCTGGCACCTGTACCGGGCTCCTTCAGTCAAAATATCAGCATGCTCTTTTTCAACATTTCGGCCACCTACAGCCACTACGCTGAGTATGTGACGTTGGGACAGATGGTGCGGCCCCCAATCAGTCGCAACCCCGTTGATCTCACGACCACTTTGGTGTGGAAGCGGGGCAACGGCTCATTCGTTCGGGAGGCTGTCAACACTTCTGCACTGCGCCTGGGTGCCTTCATGGCGCCTGAAGGAACTGTGGGCATACTGATTGTCAATATTGATGACGTGACGCATTCAGTTACGTTGGATATTACCCAGACCTGGAAGCCACCGCCCAACGCAACAGTGATGATATACGATGAGCAGTGTCGCCCCATGGGTACAGCAAAGGTGGAACAGAGCGGCAGCACTGTGCAGTTGGTGGTGCCAGGTCTTCGTTTGCGTTTCCTCGCGCTTTCGCCACCGTCATGTGCACAATGACACTGGTCGTGAATGAAGAGTAGTGGCATCAAGAATTGATGGTGCTGGACGCTATCTGCAAGAGTGGGCTTCGCGTAGCTGATGTTTAGAAAGGGAGATCGATTAAAAGGCTTGGTTGAGTCGGGAGGTATTGACACAACAAGAGGCACGCGCATAAACTAAACGGGGGTGGCTGAGGGAGCCTCGGACTGGCAAAGCCAATCGACGTTGACGCGACCCTCAGGGGTGTACATTTCGTTGCCGACAACAGTGTTGAGCATGCTTTGATTGCTGCGGCCAGCGGTCATCTCACTGGACAAGCCTGAATCGAGCCAACGAGCGGAGTCGAGCGTGTCCGCTGGTGCGGCCTGCTGTGCCCGAACGATGTCGCGCCCTAAAGATGGTTCAAGCAGTATTGGTGAGGAAAGGACCATCAAAAAGCGACATCGTTCAGGCGGAGTGGGTTTGGAATGGAAGAGTGGGGCGCATGAGCATGGACAAGCGCACCATTGCGTTCAGAGCGAGTGAGTGGAATTTCCTGCTCCTCGTAGGTTTTTCGATACTAAAAAAAAAAAAAAAAAAAACCGCATGAGGCGGGACAACATTGATGGTTTTGTGCTGCGGACCAAGGCCACGCAAGCCGGGAAGGACGGCAGGACAGGGCATACTTGATCAATGTAGCGTTTGTCCAATTGCCGTCCCCGCTTCAAAGCCTTGTAGTAGAGTCGGCTGATAAAGGTCTCAAATTTGGGAACTACCCATGATTTAGAGTGGATGTCCCAGGTGGTGTGATAAGTCAGAACGCATTTATTGGGATTTTCTGGATGCTCCTTCATGACCATGTGCTCGGTGGTCTGGCACAGGCAAACATCCCAATCGAGGTTACAGAGGAGGCCGTGAGTGAACGGGTGCAAGAGCTGGCACGGTTTGTCTCCACACCTTTTCAGAAAAGAAAGAGGGGTTGACACGATAAAACAAGCAAACGTATTGCGCACGTCAAGCGGACTTGCATGCCATAGAAGCGTCCAAACGCACCGAAAGAAGGCTTTGCAACGAGGCATTGTGACCTTTAACGTCGAGGCGACGGTTTTTGCGATCCATGATGGTACGGAATTCATACCAAAAGTCCTGTGGCCCCGACATGCACCCCATCGTGAGAAGGAAGTGACCCGCTTGGACGAACAGCGTGTTAGAGACTTTGGCGCCCAACAGACATTCTGGCAGGCTTTGGTGCTCACCGTGTCATCGGATAAGAAGCGCATGATCCATTGGGGCAAGGGCATGCTTACTTGCACGCTTCGCCTGCGAGCGGCGAGGCATGAGCTGGACGACTGGAAGGACTTGGCGCAACGAGTCGAGTCGAGTCCCGCGACACAAGTCATGTGCAGTTGGGAGCCGGACTACTGCATACCGGAATTTGGTGAGCTCGAGGTCGAGGTCGACTTCCCATTCATCAAAGTCACAACGGAGGATTTCCTTGTATTCGGGCGAGGGAACCGCCCAGGATTTGCGGTCGTAGGCCAACAGAGCAAGCTCCCATGGTGCGTCCACCTCGAACTCATACTCGACAATCTTCATCGCGCAAGGTTGAGGTACACCTTTCGACTAGTGTCGACGACTGGTGCTGGGTGCATTCGAGCAGCAACCCCGTATAGTGATGGCTGTATGCTGGGCGCGCCAGTGGCCTTTCAAACAGCAGAAGATGTTGTATGGAGCGCCAACAACAGCCGTGGGTCGGAACCGCCAACAGCCAAGGTGAGGGAGAGGACGCGCTGGTGTCGGAGGTCGACGAGCCAGCTCCCAGCTGAAGAAGATGAAGGTGCACGTCCTGAATCTCGGAGTCCACACGCGAGCGAGCCAACAACACCAGCAGCCAACCAACAGCCAATCAACAGCTACCTGATCATCAGCACAAGCATCAACAGTCTTGAGCGCCAGTCAAGTCCACACACAGAGAGCGCGCGCGAGAGAGAGCGCGAGAGAGAGAGAGCGCGCGAGAGAGAGCGCGAGAGAGAGAGAGAGAGAGAGAAAATGCTCGAGTCTTGTTGTGACGACTTCGTCATCATCATCGCCATCACACACGTCTCTCTGGCTGATGCTGGAGGAGGCTGTGGTGGCAATGTCAGATTGTCAGATACGTGTATTGTCAGATGATTCTTCGTTCGTTCGTTCGTTCTTTTCAGGAGAGGAGGAGGCGTGTGCAGATCTGAGCAGGAGCTGAATTGGTGTTGATGCGTGAGGGGAAGGTCATAACGAGCAGGCCTGACGGGCGTTAGAACGCTACAATGGCGCGTGTGCGGCATGCCGCACGCACACACACATGCACACACATGGTTTTGCCTGGGGCAAGTTAATCGTCCAGGGGGTCTTCGCGGGCATCCTTGCCCGCCTTGATGGTTTTGAAGGGTGCGACAAGAGCATCCTTGCGTCCGCCGCCAGACTGCTTGGAGGCAGTGTAGCCAAAGTAGACGGACGTGGTAAAGGAGGGAATGCCGACACCCAAGCCGTCGGCATTGAGCGACACCATGTCGACATGGGCTCGACGCTCCCGCAAGGAAGCCGCAGCAACCGGCACGCGGGCAATGCCACGCAGCACACCCCGCACATTGCGCGCAATCAAATTGACAGAGGCGCGGGTCTCATCCTTGGGAGCCTGGGCCTCGGTCCGCTTGGCTGCCTCAAGCTTCTTCTCCAGGTGCTCAATCAACTTGGTGTGCGGCTTCTCTTGCAGACGCAGAGAGGCTCCAAACTGCGTACCGTACGTTATGGTGGCAAACTCCTTGCAGAATTCCAGCGGCAGGTCGATGATGCTGCCCTCCACCTACATCATCACGCATACCCGTCAGTAAGGACACGTCGTGCCAATACATCAGAGCATCCCAAACGACCGGTTCTCCTGCTTGGTGACCCACATCGCGGAGACCCCACGCACCTTCTCAATATCGCCGAGTACCAGGGTGATGGGTGACACGGCCACGTCCAGGGCCTCCTGGGCCACTGCATCCACGCCTGACACAATGGCGCCCACTACTTTGGCCGCAGCCTTGCCCGTGGCCAGCACCGCTCGCCGCGTGGCTTCGCCGACGCTCTTGACGGCATTGGTTGTGGAACGCAATAAACTGCTCGACGGCTCCAACACAAAGTCATCGTAGCGGGTGGTCAGCTCGCTCGAGGGCGCTGCCTCCTCACTCTTGGTCGCTTCGGGCTGGGATTGAGGCAAGGAGAGCAAGCGCTCGTGGCCATCCATCGGCTTTTCGGGATCAATCTTTTGCAAATACGCGGTCACCGTCATGGATGGCACAGCCAACCCAATGCCAGAAATGGCTAGACGCAACATGACAGGGTGCGCCGTGTCACCGGTGGCGTTGGTAGCCAAACGGTGTGCGCGTGCCATCATGCCCAGCAGGCTACGCTGAAAGGTTGACAGTTTGCTTGCGTCGAATTCCTTGTCGTCCAGCTCATCCAGGAGCACCACGGTCATGCTTACACCAATATAGGTACCAATGGTAATGCCGAGCCAGCCCCCGTGTCCGGCGATGGTGCCCACACGCAAGCCAGTGCCATCAAGGTAGTCACGAAACTCGTGTAGCTCGTGCACCAGCGTACGCAACACGGGGCGTGCCAGCGATGAAAATGGATGGCAAAGCGCATGAAGAATGTCCTTGGTTCCATCGACTATGCGTTCCCATAGCGTGCGCCCTTCGTGCTCTTCTTGTTGCAGCCGCTCCGGGTTGGTTGCACCCCATTTCCCTGCGTGGCGGCCTGCAGAGGCAGGCGCCGTAGCCACATGAGCCGAGAAAAGACGCGCAGACAATTGGCGACGGTAAAGCAGGCGGACAGAGACAAGGCGTTTTGATCTCGACACTTTTGTGCACAATGGTTCAAGCAAAGGCAGCGCAGAGGCGCCGAACAGAACGTACCGTCTGCAAGGGTCAACCCTACGGTAATCGCGGGAATGTCGAGGCCAAAGCCGGTTGCCGAGATATTGACCAGCACCAACTCCATGGACTCATCCTCGATCTGCTCCAGCATGTCATTGCCACGATCAAGACAGGCCAGGAGGGCTCGCTGGAACAGGCTGTGCTTTTGCTCATCGATAACTTCTTGTGGAGCCGGGCGCTCTTTTCGAGGTTGAGGCTTGAGGGTGATGCTGAGCCCGAGGGAGGTTCCATACGTCACGCCGAGGTAGCCCCAAGTGTTGAGGCGATACCCCAAAACGTTGAAGGTGGACTCGAGCTCCTTGACCTCCTTCACACCGCGCTCGAGCATGCTTTGGAACTGCGCCTCGTCGGCCTGCAGAACGCTGGCCGCCCCTGCTGCCGCGGCGTCCTCGCTGGGCGCCACGGGCAAGGCATTGGCATCGACAAGGCGGAGTTCTTGTCGCACAGCGGTCTTGAGGAGCTCCTCGTTGTGTTCCGTTTGCCCTTGCAGCTGTCGTAGCGAGCAACGTCAAGAAGCGAGAACATGGAATGATTCATTCAAGACGATGGGTGAGCGGCTTGGCCGGCGCGGCGCCCGTCCAACCCAGGAGAGTAGAGAGTAGAAGAAGCCATGGCAAAGCAAACAAACACGTGGGAAGCAAGCACCCGTTGCTCACCTCCGTGAAGGCGTCATTGTGCTGGGCAAGGGGATCAGACAACGTCGGCGTCGCGGGGGCTGATGACGCGCCTTGAGGTGGTGGTACCGCTGCCATCTTGTTCTTGATCGTCTTGCGCTGGCTCCGATCTGGGCTCCGAATCGGGCGAGGCTTGTACCTCTCGACGACTTTGCCTTTGTTCGCTCAACTCGACAGTTTGCGGGGCTGGTTCGGGTTCGGGGCAAGAACCGTCCTACATGTCAAGCGATGCACAGCCAGGAGCACGAATGAGCCATTCAGCAAGTGACGGACGTAGCCGGTTACGCCATGCAAGCGCCCATTGCGCACCTGGCACTGTTGGTAGTATTTCAGCAAGCGATCACGCCAAGCTGTGGCTGATTCGCCTTCGGTGGCAAGAAATTGGTAGTGCCGATCGTGACCTACGCGAACAACGAAGCGCTGCTCGGGCAATTGTGTGGGCTTGTAGTAGATGTCGCTAGGAATCTCGTTGCCCAGGAGCACCTTGATGGGCTGACCGTGGGTCGGGAGGTCCTTGGAGAGGCGCCCTGACCGCACGTGGCGTAACACGATGTGGTGCGGCAAGAGTTGGACGCGGCGCTCACGCGCGTTGACGCCAAAGCAGCTGTGACTGCAGTACCACACTTGGCCTTGCGTTGACGTCAGTTCACGCCGATGTCGCGAAGACATGCTGTGCGCAAATTGATCGTTGGTTTAAAGGGGGTGGCAGCACAGATTGGAGGCCCATGTAGGGGCGATGAGTTGACTTTGGAAGTGACAGAAGGTTGTGATTCGATAAATAAGTCTTGTTGGTGACAAGCAGTCGGAAGCGTCAAAAGAAAATGTCCTCATGCGGAGGGCTGGCACACTCAACAAGCGGGAGGAACATACCGTGTGGCCGGATTGAGGTGGCGGAAGGAGCAGATGCACACACACGAGTGGCAGTGCGCGCTGCACGACGTGTGATGGGAACGAAATGTTGGGCGTATTCGTGGATGATTGGTGATCGTTCGACAGATGTGTACGCGCGAGGGGTAAGGGTAAAGGCGAGATGGCGAGATTGTGAGAAAGTTGTGACGGTATACGGGCATACGATGAGCCTGGATGGCGGACGATCGAATCATGCGGGCATCGGCAGAGCAGCAGGTGCGCAGATGCGGGGGGGGGTAGGGCTCGCGGACCTTGCGGAAGATTTGGTTGAAGAAGAAAAATACCAACACAAGGACGACGTTGACCCTTTTGATTCCTAGTCACCGTGACGGGAGGCGATCCGCACGCAGAGCGCGCATGAGTGAAACAGAGCCGTGATCACACGCCCGCGATTGCAATCGCGTCTGGAGGCTTTGCGCACTCGAAAACAATGATTGAAGACTGAAGCGATATGATGAGGAGGCGTGCCGAGGCGTTGCAACAGTTGATGGGATATGGCGGGAAGCAGGCAGAGCGGTTCAAGGGCAAAGGACCACGCACGCTCTCACACTCTCACTCTCACTCTCACTCTCACTCTCACTCTCACTCTCACTCTCAGTGACCCCTGGCGCTGCCGTTTGTCCCGTCACTTCCAGGCTTCACACTAGCTACGAGATCCGTTACCTTTTCAGCACAAGCTCACACTTTGTTGATTAACAAAACTACATCAAGTACCTAGTTATCTGCACCAAGTCCTTGGAAGCTGCATGTGCAAGCGTCATAATGGTCCGATTGTCATCATATTGTGTTGTCAGACGATATTGTCAGACGTTTACTGAGGCAAGATGACGGCGGTGGCGCTGGCGCTGGCAGAGGGCTGGCTGGTGTGTCAGCCGGCCGTGTTCGTCGGGGTGGTGACGTTGCTCGTCTTGATCTTGAGCGCGGCTGGCTTGGTGGCTCTCCAGAATATGCATGAAGGTGGGTGGGTATGCCTTTGTTGATCGCAAGGCACTGGCAGGTCTTGAGTGTTGGTGGTGTTCCTCGTTTCCTTGCTCACCTGCTCGCACCACAGGGCTTCCACCGGGCAAGTCATGGCTCGAGCGAACGCTGCTGGCAGCAAGCCCCCGGCGGTTATGGCGATTGTTCTTCATGATCTTGAGCTGGCTTCAAATGATTGAGGTCAGGCCTGCGCCTGCAATCCAACCCGCGTGTGAGACAGGCAGAGTCCTTTGCGGAGCTCAGATGCTGCCGCCTTGTTCGCAGTACATTCCCATCATGCTCGAGTGGAACTACTATTATCGACGTGCTGATGCGGCAACTGTACGCAAGGCAAGTCCAGAACTTTGGCCCTCTTGGAACCATGTTGATACCCGGTCCTTCCTCGTTGACCCTTGTCCGTGCTTACGTGCGTGTGCTTGGACCGGTTGCACGACAACAGGACGTGCCATTTGGCCGCCATGGAAGTCACATGGATATTTTTTCCCCCACTGCAGATGCTCCAGCGCAAAAGCAAAAGGCAATTTTGTTTTTTTAGTACGTTGCTATCTCCCAACGCGCTGGCGCGACCTTGGTCCATGCCTCATCGCCGTGCCGGGACTCTCCAATCTCGCTTCGCTGCCAGTGGTGGGGCTTGGTCCTCGGGTGACAAGGCCATGTATGGCTTGATCGGCCGCGAGGCATCGGCCAAGGGTGTTTTGGCGGCCGTAGCCAACTATGCATATTGGCCACAAGGGACCATGCACCACATGCTACAAGACCTCGTTGATGCCGTTCAGGCTGTCCGTCGCCTCGGTGTCACCCAGGTCAGCTGGCGTGCACAACATAATGCCTATCTTGAGAACTTGGCTGCCGGGTGTGGCCGTCACACGCGCGGTTTCTTTGCTGGCACTTCTGACTGGGTTGATGCTGTGAGCACCATGAAAGAGTCATGATCTTGATCCTGCTATCATGCTTGACAGATTTGCTTGATGGGACACTCCGCCGGTGCACATCTGTGCACTTTGCTACCGCTGCGTTTGGCGCGTGAGCTGGCTTTCAGGGCAACTGGAAGTGGTGATGCCGACTCAGTATTAGCAGAATACTCTGCAGAAGAGCTGCGCCAGAGTTTCGAGGCGCTTCGGTATGTTTGGGCGTGGCCTGGCTGATCTGGAACTCGAGTCGAGCTTCTTTTTTTTTTTTTTTCTGACAGCTGCCAACCCTGCCTCTCTTTCCTGCCGACAGGGCGGTGGTGGGCTATGGGGGAGTTTACAATATTCCGATGCACTTTGCTCACGAGGCGTCCCGTGGCGTCGAGTATGTCTCAAAGATGCGCCGATCTGTGGCGGGCGAGGCACGCGACCTGATCCTGTACTCGCCTTCCCTGTTGGCTCGTGAGCTTACCCTCGACCAGATGACTATGTCTGCACGGTGGCCCCACTATTTCCTCATGCATGGCCAGCTGGATGACGTGGTGCCGTGTCGTTCGGCTGTGGAGTTTGCAGAACGAATGCGCTTACTTGGAGCTGTCGTTGACGCACAATACGTTCACGGCGGACACTCTGAGCTGGTCATCTCCCTCATGAGCCCGCGTTGGCGCCTTTACACTGCGACCCACAGCCTCCTCAACGACGCACTCGGTTGTCTCTCTTGAGCACGTCTGTTCAATGGCGCCTTTGCGCCTTGAATCTCTCAAATTAAAGCCTCGGTTCACCAACACCGTAAAACACCCCAAACCTTTGGCGCACGGTCCCAAGAGTCTCGGCACAATTGGCAACTCTCACCACGATTGTATCCCTGGACCATTGCTGAATAAGACACGCATCCCCCTCCCTTATATCACAGCTGACAAGGACCACCTTCCTTCTCTCTCAAACTCTCTCTCTCCCTCCCTCTCAAACTCTCTCTCGACTCTCGAACTCGCTCAAACTTTCTCTCACTCTCTAACACGCTCTAACTTTCTCTCTAACGAACTCTCTCTCTCAAACTCTCTCAAACACACACACACTCACACATACACTCTCTCTCTCTCTCATTTCTCCCTCTATTTGTTTTTGACATCCAGACACAACGAAGGCATGATGGCAGTGTCACGCTTTCCGTGTCGGGTCAGGAATGTGTGCAGGGGGTTGTCTTTGCTCGTGGGTCTGGTGGTAGCACTGTTGGTCAATGCGAGAGGGACGGCTGCTTGGAGCGTCACATGCCGAGATCAGGCTTGTTTGCAGACTGCCGTTCGAAATGCATCCGCTTTTCGCGGCGCTGAAAACATCACGGTGACAGTGATGGGACCTGTGACGCTCACCAGCTCGCTGCAATTGGGCGCGAGACCTGAGCACACGGGAACCCTGATCTTCCGCGGCAATGAAAGCCAAGGGAAACCGGGTGCGTTCGAGGGGGGTCATGTGGTGACGGCAGCCTGGCATCCCGTGCAACTGCTGGGCATTGACCTCTGGGCCGCCCGCGCCCCCGCGTCCCTGCAGTTGGGGGACAATCAGACGCGGTGGCGCGCAGCTCGCCAGTTGTACATTGATGGCCAACGCTACTCCCGCACCCGCTCGCCCCCAGATGCGGTTGGTCTGACCATCACCAACGCCACGGGTGACGCTGCAGGCTATGCCACCACCTCCACGGTGCCCCTGGCTTGGCCCGATCCAGCGGCCGTAGAGCTAGTGTCGGACCACACGTGGGTTCAGCACCGCTGTTTGGTGGCCAACACAAGCAACCTCACAGCCGTGTCTTTGTCTACCAGTGCGCCCTGCACCGCCAATTGGAGCATGCCTGTTCTGGGCGCCTCGCCTGGAAGCTCACTAAAGCAGGTGCCTCTCACGTCATACCAAGCCTGCCAGCAAGCATGTTGCCAACTGGGTGCGGCCTGCAAGGCCGTCGACTTTCGGCCAGGCTCCTGCTATCTTCTGGATCGTACTTACGATGGCAACTACAGTCCGCATGGTGCCTCCAAGCTGGCGAACATGAACCCGGCCAATGTTCCCGTCATGCGTTCGCGCATCAACATGGCCCAGCCCTGCTTCACAGACGTGCAGAATAATGGTCAATACAGTATGACGCTCCCCAGCTTTCTGGAGAACACAGCCAACTTCACAGGCCCTGGCCAGTGGTTTTACGATCAAGGAAAGGGCATCGTTTATGTCTGGCCCCTGGCTGAGCACGTGCAGATCAACTCCTCCTGCGTGGTCCTGGGTGGGCTTGATGTGCTCGTGAATTTGCATGGTGCGGAGCGCGTGGAGTTGACCAATTTGACCTTGGCCTATAGCTCATGGTTGCGGCCCTCCACCGGCAACGGCTTTGTTGAGCGCTACGGCACCATTTTTTTTGCCAATGGCACCAACTTGGCCATGCCACCTGCCGCCCTGCAAGCCGCCTTCGTGTCAGACCTGAACATTGAAGAGTGTAGCTTCTTACATCTCGGGTCGTGGGCCATGGCGGTGGGACAAGCCGTCAAGCGCATCCGTATCAGCCAGAATCTGTTTTACGACGTTTCCGGGGGCAGCTTGGTTCTAGGGGCGCTCAATGGGACACATGAGACTGATCCTCAGCTACAGACGGCGGAGATCGTCGTGGCAGACAACGTCATTCAGAACATGTCGGTCGAATACAAGGGAGCGCCCGGCTTGCATAGCTTCTGCCTCCGTGACTCGATCATCGAGCACAACCGGATCGATACTGTGGGGTACTCGGGCATATCCTACAACTGGCCTCTGCGCCAAGGCCCGACGCTAGGCCCCAATGCCACCGATCCAAGTCTCGGCTTTACGCGCAACAACGCCATTCGTAACAACGATATTGCCCGCTTCATGACCTATATGATGGATGGAGGTAAGAGAGGGCAGTGAGCAGAGAGGGCAAACCCACAGACAGGAGATTAAGAAAAAGTATCACCGCGCCTGCTCACGGGTTGTATGTGCGGGGGCGGGTTAGGTGGTATCCACACCATTGGACGCACTGTCAACACGACATTGTCCGGCAACTACTTTCATGACATGGGGGCTGGAGCACCTGGTTGGCACTCGGTTGAAGCACAGAGTGTAATCTACATTGACAATTGGAGCTGCGGTTACGCCATCACAAACAACGTGCTGGAGCATTGCAACGCGACCAAGCAGGGCTACTACTTTTTCCAGGGCCCTTCCGAGGGCACCGCGCATGACAATGTTGTCGACGGCCTTTACCTTCGAGATGCTGGAAGCATCAACCCCAACACGCCTGGCATGCCGTGCAACTGCAGCAACGTCCACGACGTCGTTGGCCCTTGGCCTGCCACGGCCGCGGCCATCATTGCCGCGGCGGGGCCCCGGCGACCGTAAGAGTAAGCAGGATGTTTTTAATTCTTTGTACAAAAATTTATTGCGTGAAAGTCAAGGCACGACCCTAGGTGTGGGATGGAGTAGTTTTCGCGTGGTGGTCTTCGTGCTGGAAATACTCAATTAAGAACGCCCCTCCAGGGGGCAGGAAAACCAAGGAACTCAAATACCAATGCTGATAATTTGATACCCGCAAGACAAGCAGAGCCAAAAACAAAAGAGGGGGGATTGCGCTGGGCCCGGGCCCATCATTGGCCAAAGCGCTTGAACATGGAAGGGAAGGCGAGGGGAAGACCGGACATTGAAGATATTTACAAAGACCAGTCTTGGGCCACTGCTTCGTTCGAGGCGCTGGAAGCAAGAAGGGAGGCTTCGCCTCCCACTCGCGTACAAGAGACATTCAAAACAACATGGGGCTAAACAAGACGAAGAAAGAGGAAAAGAAGTGGAAATCTACCTGAACGACCAAGATTGAGTCACGGGCCATCGACCACACAAGAAAGATGATGGAGGGGCTGGGTTTGCTGGCGGCACACAAATCCCGTCGCGTACACGCGCGCCCAGGAGGGACGCAGCTAACGTGGCTTGGACGACACAGTGATCAGAGTTCGGGTTGTGGGGTGAAATACATGTATTCTTTGCCAGAGGGCATTTCTTGCACTGATACGCCCTGAGAAGAGATGATGGACGGCACATGCCCATGAGCTGTGGCACAGGCAGAGGAAAGGCAGAGGAAGAAATGCCTGTGCAAGCAGAAATGGAAGAGCGCTCGGCCGTGCATCTGAAGAGCAAGTGTTCAAACCTTGGGGTAGACTGTCCCGAATTCCTCGGGTGTGACGTCGGGTCGGGTCATGACCTCTTGGCCATATTGCCAGTCCATGGGGATGCACACCTGCCGAGCGGGGGCAATGAACAAAATGTTCGAGAGCAGATGAGGTGATACGTTGGTAAGCACAGCGCGTCGCATCGCGTCTTTCAACACGGGCAGCGCTGGTCGTCCCAGCCCAAAAAAGCAACTGTTGTTTTTCTGTTCCATGAACTGTTTACGTACACGGCGGTACTCGATGAGCTGAAGACCATCAATGATCCGCAAGAGCTGTTGGGCGCCGAGAGTCGCGAGCGGATTGAGAGGGGTCGAGCGACAGGCATTCTAGCGGCTAGGAGCAAGGACGGACCTCGTCGCAAGTGCGGCCCAGGGGGCCGGGATAGGTGGCGATAAACTTAATGTGGCGATCAGGATCAATGAGGAAAGTGCCGCGGGCGCTGAGAGGAATGCCAAAACCGTCCTTGAAGTCGTCATCCAGGATGCCCAGGCGAACGCTCAGCTCGCGCTTTTCATCGGCAATAATGGGGAAGGGCAGCTCATCACCGTCCAGACCAGCCTGTGCCTGCAAAAAAAGAGGCCGGGGGATGCGTGAGGCAAAGACGAAGGGTTGGGCATTGCCAGATGCGAGGCGGACATGAAGCCAACGTCACAGGACAGGATGGCCATCATCCCTACCATCACGTCCTTCTCCCATTCGAGGTGACGATCAACAGGGTCACACGAAAGGCAAATGATCTACCAAAGGGGGCGGCGCATGAGTCAAAAGGAACTTTGAAAAAAGAAGAGTGAGGTGCAAGGAATTTGGTGAGGGTGGTACCTTGCAGTTTCGCTTTTCAAACTCGTCGTAGCGAGCTGCCAGCGTGCCTAGCTCGCTTGTACACACTGGCGTAAAATCTGCCAACACAAAAGGCATGCATGAGCACAGCGAGTACCCAGGCACGGCTTCATGTGCACAGTGGGGCCACGAGAGGAACATACCACCTGGATGGCTCAAAAACAGAGCCCAGCTATGGAATTGGCCAGCGTGACGGTTTGTCAAAAATTCATCAGACCAGTATCGGACGAGAGCGCGAAAGACAAGTCTGAGTGAGACACCACGCTCAAGACAGGTGCTAGCTAGAGTGAGAGCAAGGTAAGGGTGATAGGGGTTCACCAAGAAGTAGAACCAGACGCACCCATCGCCAATGTAGTCATGGCAGCGCAGCGTGCCTCGCGTCGAGGTGCACTCAAAGTTGGGAAAGATGTCCCCTGGGAAGACGGGACACGGGCAGTAGCACGTTGTTAAGTACAAGGCGGACGCACACCCACGCGGGGGATAGAAGAGTGAAGGAAGCCCCAAGACGGTATATCAAATCACTCAAGGAACAAGACGAGAAAGCAGCCAGAGGCCACCGCCACCGCCACCCGCAGGCCCGCGGCTGCCGAACTCAACCCCCCCACCCCGAGCAACTCAGGGGTCAGGTCAGGATCATCCCTCCCCCCAGAACCTTTTTTTTTTTCCTGACGAACGACAGCGGTCACCAGGGCTATGGCCACCCCTATCCGTCCCGTCCCGGCCACCGTCACCGGCCCATTCCCCTCCCTCACTGCCCCCAGCCACGCTTGCTCTCCATATTCCCATGGCGCTGCCATTTCCCCGCGCGGAAGAAGACGGACGTACCAAGGTTCGGCATGATGTCACTCTGAGAGAACAAAAGACACCCTTATTGGCGGGCTCTTGTTACCAAATGAAAGATGACAGCAAAACCAATCACAAGGGAAGAGATGGGGTGGTGACAGGGTGTGACAGGCAGGGACTGGGGGTTATGGCATTGGGTGCAGCAGAGACGGGTTGGGGGTGGGGTTTCGTCGTAAGCTGAATACAAAGCAGCGGACAGAGATTTGTGCGGAGAGCAGATAGAGCCAAGAGAAGATTCATGCCAGGCCATTGAAAACAGAGACACAACAGACTGTCAACACCGGTGTGAGAATGTCAGCCAAAAGTTGTTGGGGGTTGCTGCTGTTGGCGCCAAACGAAGGAGGTGTGGGTAAGGACGTCAGTCTGACGTAAGCTTTGGGCAACTGTGCACCAGGTGATACTTTTGCAGATCGCCATATGGGATTCGGCTGGGTGTATGGGATGGGCATCGCAGGACAAGCGGGGATGGGGGGATGGCCTTGGCCTCGAACTGGCCTGCTGCGTTGTGCACGCTCGCTCGACGGGGCTCAGCTGGTCTTGACAAAGGCATGTGAAAATGCAAAAAGTCTGCTAAGGAACTTTAAGCGCTTCCGGGGGTTATGTTTCCAAATTGCGCCAACAATTGCTCTCGTACGCCGAGGACCTCGGCCACAGACTGCAGGGTGGTCCAGCGCGCGAGTGAGCGTCTGAACGAGCCCTCGTCTGGTGCGTGAATGCAAGCAGCGACTCGTTTGTGGCACGCACCGAGTTAAAGTCGGTTGGGCCCCGCACAATGGTGCGCAAGCTTGCCAGAGTGTCCTTGTTCTGCTGGAAAAACTCCCAGTCTTCAAGCCCATCCCGCAAAGCCGCCAAGCGCATACTGCGCAACGGTCCCGCCTCTCCTGGATACCTACATTCGAAAGAGTGGAGAAGGGATGTTGGCATGGTTAAGTGAGGTGCTTGGCCCTTGCACTTGCTCCCCGCCCCCACCAAGCGGCCGCTGGGACTCGCCCCGACGCACATGAAATAACCGTCTCCGTTGGCAAAGATGTCTGTTCGAGGGCTCCAGATGTAGTTGGCGGCCGGGAAGTCGGTGAACGCTGTCCCATTATTTTGATTCATGGGCTATTTGATGTTCCGTGCGAGAATGCAGCACAACAGAGTGACACGCTGCACCTCGGCCCACTGCCCTCGTCGTTTTGAGTGCATAAGACGACCAGCCCCCTTTCTCGCCCGCACGCACACCCACACCCACACACCTTGTTGACAGTGCCCGGGTAGGGCCGCCACAAGTCGACGGCATAATCTAAGCACAGATGTGCGCCCGATCAGGCCAATGCTCGTCTCTCTCACGCCCCCTCCCCCGCGCACTGCACTGCTTATGAGCAAGAGACGACGTACACAGCCAACCCGTCGGTGCTTGGTACTCCAGCTCGTTGGCGGCTGCCAACCACATGAGTAGTCGCGCCTCCACCAGGTCATGCTCGATAAAGGTATTCAGATAGCCGGATGACGACGGCTCGATGCAGTGGTACTGCCACTGTTGCTTGCCCGCCGCCACCCAGGCTTTCGCTGCCGAAGCCTCAAAGTACTCGTACTGCAGCACCCACACATCCACGGGGAGATCCACCGGCATCGGTTTCCAGTTCAACGCTACAAGGCATCATCAGCCTGTCAGAGATGGGACTTCTGGGCTAGCTCCCCAGGCTAAACGGCACCACAACTCTCAGAACGTACTGGCGACGAGTGGCAGGTCAGGAAATTGCGCCTTGATGGCGCCGTACATTTTGCGAATCTCGGGCTCGCACGACGCCGGACTTTCATCCCAACCGTAAATATAGGCCGGGTCGGCGGCTCCTGCGGCGCGCAATTCATTCAAAAGGCTTTCGATGTCTGCCAACGCCCGCTGCACATCCGCGTCTGTCACCGAAGGGCAATCACCCTTCAGCTTGATGTGATATCCAGTTTCCTGGGGCACGCCTGACACTTGAAAACACAAAAAAAAAACAAAGCCGTGACAAACCAATCTGTCAGCCCACGCCGTCTGCTCGTCCATGTTACCCTGGCCATTTGAAGCCTGTCACGCTGTGCCCACCCACGCTCATGATTGATGTTCAGGACGGCATAATGGCGGACGCCTCGATCCTTGAGGTAGGCAAAGTCGGAAAAGTTGCGTGACCTGCATTCCACGTGTGCAGAACAGATGGCATGGCAGCACATGAACCGTGGCGACTGATTGGTGGTGCAGGCAGCCTTGAGGGCCGCAGCAGGGTAAGAGGCCGTTGGTCACACCGCACGTACTGATAAATCGAATCGGGAGGCATGCGATGCTCAAGAAGCATGTCATACCAAGGCCCCCGAGTCCAATTGCTATAATAAGGCGCAAAGTACTAACGGCATGGACCAGCGGTCAGCAATGATGCCATCAAAGCCTAGATGGCGCACGAGGCTCAAGCAAGAGTGATCATTGCAGACATGGCGGCTGGGCACAAACCGCATCAGACCAAGTCCCAGACCATGCGGTGCCGATACGAGATGCATTGAGCGCGGGCACTGCCGCATCGACCACCTGCGAACCAATAGCAGGCACGTCTATCAAAGCCCGAGTACGCTCGCTTGACGCAACGAACCCCTGCCCCTCCATTGTTTCTTGCAAGGAAGAAGCTGCAAAAATGGCAGCGTACGATGATGGGCAATGTCGCGGTCCAGGACTCGTTGCCAGCTCGACCTTGCAATTGGACGGAATAGCTATCTGTGCACCATGGATGGATAAAGCCAACCAAGTGAGACCCATGAGCAAGTCGCTGCACCTCTCTCTCTCCCTCTGTCTCCCTCTCTTTCCCCTCTCGCCCGATAGAAAAGGCTCCACGAGCTTTCGTGACAATGGCATCTTCTTTCTTTTCAGAGCAGAAAGAATGCCTCGGATTGCAATGCCGGGCAAGAGAGCGACTGACCGGCCGGGGTCGCCAGACTAGTGCGCGCCTCTACCCAAAAGGCCTGCAAGAAGCCTGCACGAACCGGAATGCTTCGTTTCAATAAAAAAACCGCCTGGATGAGATCGATGCGCACCAGAGTGCGTGCAACCATGATGACCGCAACGAGCAGGCGATCTGGACACAGGTGAACGAATCTGGGTCATGCACGCGAGCTCGGGCTGAGCCTTGTGGATTGAAAACGAAATCAAATCAACGACGAAGATACGCACCTGCCATTGTCTAGAGGCAAGAGGGGATCGGAACGCCAGCCTCCACCCGATGGGGAGTAGCGGGACGTGTGATTCGTAAAGATCCACCCGACTGCTGATACAGAGACGCTCAGATCGGTTGCGGACGAGCTCGTGGCTTGCAAGGCAACCTCTCGTGAAGAGTTGGAAGGGTCCACAAGAACAAGAATGGCCTCGGCTTCGTTGCGCAGCATTGAAAGCGAGGCCGGCTCGCTTTGTCCAGCCAGGTAGCTGCAGTTCCACCCGGGCTTCAAATGCACCATCCCGGGCAAATAGCACACCTTCGGAACCGACAGCACGCAGCCAGATTCAACTGAGAACGCGCCAACCCTACGAATGCGAGCAGAAACGCGAGAGGCCGGGGGTGGGCGTTGGTGCTTCTTTCCATCCACCCACCTGCACCGACGAGGCACCCACGCTCCCGGCAGCCATCAGCCACCACACCACCAATGCAACCCTCAACCCCTGCCCAATCACTCCCACCCCAGCCAGCTTCTTCCTCCCACCGCCATCCGCATGAGCCCCCGCCATCTTGGCGGATCAGGACCGAGTAGTAAAATACTTTTTTTCGTGCGTGTGTGTGTGTGTGTGTGTGTGTGTGTCTGTGTCTGTGTCTGTGTCTGTGTGTGTGTGTGTGTGTGTGTGTGTGTGTGTGTGTGTGTGTGTGTGTGTGTGTGTGTGTGTGTGTGTGTGTGTGTCTGTGTGTCTGTGTGTGTGTCTGTGTGTCTGTGTGTGATTCAAATATTTTCCCACACACACACAGACAGAGACGAGATGGCAGCGGTCATGTCGATGCCGCTTTCGTCCACAACTGGGCAGGTGCTACTGGGGCTGGGGCTGGTGGTCAGCTTCTGGCTTGGGTATAGCCGTGGGCGGAGTGATGAAGAGCAGCGACACCAGACACCTGTTGTCGAGGATGCACAGGAGACCACCAAACACCGACCGATCGGTACGCACGGCGGTCGCTAACGCTGCTTGTGAGGAGTTTGCCAACGGCGGCGCTTTGAGCATTGACCCTGATTGACCAACCTCTTCACGCATTCCCGATGCATCTCCTCTTGTAGCTGCAGCCGAGGATGAGGAGTGCAAACTGATTCTTGGCGTGCGCTCCGATCTCAAGATGCAAAAGGGCAAGGTGCGAGCTGCCGCCCATCCTTGCAAGCAAAAGGGCCGCATAACAAGCGCAAGTGTCACTTTTGCCTTGCCAATTAGGTCGCCGCGCAATGTGCGCACGCAGCTGTTGCTGCCTACGAAGACCTTGCCGAGACCAACCCCGAGGCAAGTCCACCGCTACATGACACGTGACACAAGCTTCCGAGTATCACCTCCGAGACCGGCCTGCAGAAACCGCCATTCGCCCCGCGCGTATAGCCTGGCACACCCGTCCCACACACCACACACACACAAGACATGATGCCCTGCATGACACTGATACGTGGCGTGCATGCATTCGTGCGCGCGTAGTTGCTTGAGCATTGGCTCACCTCGGGCCAGGCTAAAATCACCGTCAAAGTGCCCGACGAGGCCGAAATGTTCGTTGCACATTATTGTCATCCCATCGCTGGCCTGTCTCGCTCTTTCTCGCCGAGGGGAATCAAACCCTCACAGAAGACCTGCCAACCTGCGATTCTTTTGCCGGGCCACACGTGAAATGACAGGACTGCGCTCTTACGTAAAGCCCGTGAGCTGGGCATCGCGGCCAATGTCATCCGCGTATGGTGCTTTGCCCCGTCTCTTCGCCAGTTGCTGCCCCTCCCTCCCACCTCTCAAGAGATGTCTCTGATACCTGACCTATATCCCTCCTTGGCCGCCCGCGTTCTGGTAATGCAATGCAGGATGCAGGCCGGACACAAATCCCAGCAGGCTCAAAGACGGTCATTGCCTTGGGCCCAGGTAAAGCGAAAGCAAACCAAGACTGCATACCTTTGCCTCGTGCGGGATACTACTCCTACAGTTGTCCTTCTCACTAACATCATATGTATTGAATTTCTGCCCACTCCTACCCCAACCTCTGCGAATAGCCCCTGTGGATCTACTTGATACCATCTCCGGCCACCTGAAGCTATATTAGAAGCACAGTGCCACTCATATCCACCCAAACCTTCAGATCCGTACACATCGGGAAGTGTACTCAGATCATGCTCTGAAAACGGCTCTTTCGAAATGCCCTTTATGCCATGCTTCACAACTCGACGACAGTGGACATCACTAAAACTAGATTTCAATTGAACGTGTCAATTGTACCGAGTGCAAGCGCTACCGCAGGCATGAAGCAGGGGACGCCTGAATACTCGCACAATCGACACACGCGGCAAAATATAATCACACGTACGCATTTAAAAGAACGATTCACATACACAACCAGCAAGGATGGAACAACTATAACCCCAACAGGCGCAAGTGCTGTGTTTGGAATGCATGACGGTTGGACAGCCAGTAATGGCTGCATACACACGACATGCATTTATCACACTGGCGTCATGATAAATAATGGCGTCAACGCTCCGAGCACTTGACCCGGTGTGGGGCTCTAACCAAAAGTAACTACGAGCACGACGATGCGCAAGTCGCCGACAAGAATTTGTGGGCATGAACGTGTTTAAGAACGCACGCACGAGTTGACCACCGACTCGGTAGAGCTATACAGCTCGTAACCTTGCTTCCGCTCGTTGCGCAGTCGCACAACGAAGCGATCGCCACTCGAAACGCTGTCGGCCCAAAACTGGGTGCAAGCCACCTCGTCGCGGCCGGCAGGTACGGACGTATCGGCGATCAACACCTTGCCATACGCAGTATCTTGTCGCAAGCCCACAGCCATAACCTTGTCCGTGTCCCACGTACGCTTGTAGCAGAACTGGAAAAGGTGGCCGTTGGGACAGTCGACATTAAAGCGCACCACGACATCTTCATCCGATGAACGACCCGAAGCCAAGAGTTGATCAGAGCAACTACACTCCTTCAACTCTGGGCGCTTCGTTGTCGTTGTGGTTGTCGTCGTCGTGGTTGTCGTAGTGGTGGAAGTGGTAGACTCAACCTTGTTGTTACCTTGACTTTCGGCACAAGGTGTTTCGTACTCGAAAGACAGCGTGTACTTTTGAGCACGGCCGTCAAGGTTGAGAACGCGCACAAGCACGTAACTGTCGCTGCCGCCACTATTGCTAAGCTTGACAATCTCGTTATCGGTCTTGGAGTTTGCATAAGCCAGCAGCTGGAACGTGGAAGGGTTGTACACGGCAACATCCAAATTGCCATCGTCGTTCTTGAAGGAATTGACGATGGACATGCTGGCGCCGGCACAGACCTTGACCAGATACAAGTCGTGCGAGTCGCACATCTTCAAATCGTAGCTGCGGGACGTGTCGAGCCATTGCGCGTCCTGCACCTGGTTGTTGGGTTCCATCTCGTCGTCAGTGGCGCACAAGTCAGATGATTGCTTGCTGGCAGTAGTCGTGGTAGTAGTGGTTGTGGTTGTGGTGGTCGTGGTAGTCGTCGTTGTGGTGGTCGGCTCGATGCAGTCACCATACGTCTGAATCAAAACGCTGTACGAAACGGAGTTTTGACCAACCATATCGCTGTGGTGCACCGAGAAGGTAACGGTACTCGCATCAGAGCGACCCGTATCCGCGTCAATGGCCAGAAAATTGTACGAGCCGGTGCCGAGATCGGCATCAACGAGAACGCCATTCAGATAGCCTGACACGTCAAGATCACCGGCAAGCGTATCAAAGGTCATGGCCAGCGAAGCCGTCTTGCCAGGACACAAGGACAGGGTGTACATGTCCACATCGCGCTGACACACGACAAAACCGTTGCCGAACAAGAAGTCACCCACGGGTGTGGCTGACTCCAGGTCGTCGTTGGGCTCGTTGCTGTCATTGTCACACGAAGCCGTAGCTTGAGTGGTAGTGGATGTGGTGGATTTGGTGGTCGTGGTAGAAGTGGTGGTGGTGGGTGGCTCGGCACTACCACCACTGGGCACGGTCACCTCAATGGTGTACTGACCCAAACTGCCGTAGTCGCTGGGATAAAACTCGGGATCGCCAACGCCATCCAAGAATACGAAATATCGGCCTTGAGGCAGGGTCTTGACGAGGCCAGCAGAGGTGTATCCCGTTGGATCGCTCACGCCGAGCGTCTTGTCATTGCTGTTACGCAACTCAATCTTGATATCCAGATTGTTGCCAGCACTGCGACTGGACGCGTACCAGGGCTTGGCGTCAATTACAACCTGGCCCTTGGCCGGGTTATAGAAGGACCAAACATCAACATCGTCTGCCGCCGTAATGATGCCCTTGGCAATACGCGTATTTCCATTGACTGACATCTGGGCGGCGGTGCTGATAGACTCGCCCGCCTCGTCGGCCACCAACTCCAACTTCTCGAGGATGATGTCAACGTCATCTTCATCGTTGGCGCTGTTGGCCACACCGTTCAATCCCTTGGACCATTGAGTGACCGATTTGCCATACGGGGCGCCCATGATGGGACCCCAGGAGGTTGCCAGACCGTCGGCACCGATGCCACTGAAATAACCTTCACCGGTGCGACGATCATGGGACAAGCCCAGGGTGTGGCCCACCTCGTGCGACGCGGCATCGGCCACAAGATCATTGATGCCTCCGCCCAAGTTATCGTAGTATACTGAACAAAGACAAGCCAATCAAAAACATGGTGAGGCAATTGCAGCGTGCACTGTAGACCTCACAACCCGGGCAGGATCAAGCATCAACTTGGGAGCATGACAGATAGGACCACTTACCAAGGGCAGGGGAATAGTGCGGCTGGAAGGATGAGCGCCCAAACACGTTGACGTAGGCGACACCACCGGCATTCATGGCATGAGGCATGAGTGCCCCGTTGCTCTGATACTTGCGGGTAATCACGACGTGACAAACACGGTCGTGCATGGTGGCGGGCTCTTCAGTCGTGATGTCAACGTTAAAAGGCGAGTAGTCCTCAACCATGCGCGCCCAAATTTGGGCGATTTGCTCAGACTCTTCGGCGCTAAAGGTCGCAGGGTCCGAGTTGTACAAATTGTAGGGTTGAGCCTCAAAAAAGCCCCAGCCGCGACTCGTTGCAGGGTTGGTATGACCATCAAAGTCCAAGTAAATGACGTTGCTGCTGCCAGGACGGCTGTGATAAATAGGCAGACCTAAACACGACGACACGCCGGGCATGAGCGTCGCGGAGAACTCTGCCTGCAGACGACGAGAGATCGACTAGAGATGCTGCATGCATCAAGACTGTCGTCAACAGTCACAAAGGCGACACGACTGCAACACATAAACTCACCAGCAGAAGTGAAACGGGAAGGAGCCAGATCAGACAGTGCGCGGCGGGTGCGACCCGAGTCTACGTGCTCATCCATGTGATCCTCGTAAATGGTCGAATTCTCCTCGGAGAGATCGTCCACGAAGAGCAGGAAACCATCCTGGGTGATCTGCATGGTGGGCACGTCCTCAACACTGACGGCCACCTTCTTGAGGGTGCGCTTGACCTCGGCCTTTGCGGCGCGAGACAAGCTCTTGAAATGCTGCCATTGTGCAGCAGAGAGATGTTCTTGTAGATTGGAGTAGGTCACGCGCGTGTTCGAGCCGGCAACGGGCGAGGCCACAAGGGCCACGGCCACAAGAGCCAGCACCAACACGATGACGCTATGTAGCTTCATTCTCGTAGAAGCCAGAACGATGCACACAAAGAAGTTCCAAACGCGAATTCAAGTAGAGCAGAATAGCGTGAGGCGCCGACGGCTCAGATCAGAAGTTCCAAGCACGGCAGCGCACAAAGCAGAAGCTTGACAGTAGTCAAACGTCGAAGCAGTAATTTCAAGTTGAAAGATCGGTAAGCAGGTTTGGTTGTAGATGAATCAGCGTTCGCCGGGGAAAGGTCCGGGAAAAATGCCACTCCCGACTCGTGCGTGTTGACTTGAGATTGGGCCGGTGTCCGGGATTGAACGGACGAGCGAGCGAGGTGGACGATCAACGGGCACACTCGACTTGACGAGAAGGTGAACAGGGTATGAACGCTCTGCTGCATGCGATCGTGCCTCGGTGGATCGGGACCTCGACAGCTGTGCGCGCGAGTCGGATGCCCGTGTGATGACGAGCGAATGAATGGGAGAGAGATCCCAACGCTTCGGAAAAACCTCGGGGCGAACCAGACGAACGTGCCGGACCGTAGGCTCGCGCGGCGACTTTGACAGCCACTCGACGTGAAAATAAGCGCTCGACGTACACAGAAAGCCACCTGTCGTTGCACTCAGGCAGCAGCCAAGGCAACAATTGTTGTGGGTGTGCTTGTTGGCTAGTCCCTGAGTGTGTGATGCCGCGTCAAAGAAGCTTGTGGACGCGTGATGTGGCCAATTGAACCGTCATGGCCCCTCAAAGGTGGGGGGCTGGCTTTACCGTCCCAGAATCATTCCCTTCCCCCTACGCAACGATCCCATTTGCACAGCGTCGACCTTGGCTGAACGTGCGTGCATGCAACCCGTGCTGTGCTGACAGCTGTGGATACGGCTGGTGGCAGGACAAGATGGAGGAGCAGCTTGGCAAACGGTGGCCCACCTGCAGGCACCCAGCTCCGCCCACTGCGTGCCTTGTCCGCATCCTTTTGCATGCATGCACTTGATTAAATTGCATGTATGCATTCCGTACCCTTTGATGAGGAGAAGATGGTGATGGAGGAGGAGGAAGAAGATGGTGATGATGGAGGAGGAAGAAGTTGATGAAGAAGAAGATGATGAAGCGAAGGAAGTGGCAGTGGGGGAAGAGACGCAAAAAAACGCTGGTGATGATCACATTACTGAGATAGCTGATCCTCCCATCCCCCGCCCCCCACCCCCAACATGGCATACGAGCAGATGTTGTGATGACGGCTCAAGATTTGCCTGCTCGGTTGGAGAAAGTCAATGGGATTCGAGAGGAAGGAGCACGCCCGGGTTCTTCAAGAGTGGTGCGGACAGACGGACACGTCAAACAATTGATAAACGGTTCGTGCCCCGCGAGTGATGGCGTTGGAGCACCGGGCTTGTCAAACGAGTAGCATGATATGAATTGACCTGATTGATATAAAGCCTGGTATCGTTCGTTTTGAGCAAACAAACTCTAGCCCCCGCTTGCTCAACATTCAGCCAGCATTGAAACGTCAGTGCACGACACTTGAAGCGAAGTGGAGGGAAGAAAAACGACGACGGTTGGTGGAGGAGAAACCCCGACCAGCGAAAGCTTCCTCCTCAACAGTAAACCACACTGGCGGATACCGCACACAACCCTATAAGGGCCCTGGTGATGATACGTGATAGGGCAAACGCGACTTGAACGCCCATTCGCCAAGCCCAGTCCACACACACCCACACAAGTAGAGCAAAAAAAAAAAGAACATTTGAACTTAAAAAATTGAAAACCCTAAGAGAAGAGCTAGTACGCGGTAATGCTGACACATTGCACATTGCACGGCCACCAGACGGAATGAGATGAATGACTCTCATACCCTCAACGCAATCTGGGTAAAAAATGGCATAGCAAACCACATGCATTGCCAGAACATAAAGTACGGGCGAAGAAATCAAGATACTGTGAATAGCGTAAAAGTAAAACAAATGAGCGCCAGAGAAGCTGCGCCGAGGCGATAAAAAAAAAAAAAGGGACGCAAATTCAAAAACAAAAACTATCACCACAAAACTAAGAATAGAACCCCCGGGCCATGGCCCGCACATCTGAAAACACAAGTTACAATGATGAAGAACAAGCAGAAAGAAGTACACGACCGAGTTCCACCATAGAGTGACGTCCAAAGTCATTGCACAGGTCGCACGCGTTGAGTGTCCGTAAGGTCCTGAACCAGCCACGCACAGGAACATTGATCTCCATCACCAATTCCACCTTCACGTTCAGATTCATAAGCATGTTTGTATGGATAACCACCATAGTCACATGTCACGACACGTTTGTTTCCGGCGGGAGCAAACCATGCACCAATGCGAAAAGAAACCACAGCAGGTGCCAGTGGCTTGAATCGGTTGTGCGGCCTCGCCGCTACGAAGTCACCGAGCCGGTTGTGACCGGGAAATGTTGGCCACCAGACATGGTGGGCAGCATGCTCTGCGCCATTAGAGACCACAAGGACATGTTGGCCATGGAAGATAGGTTATGCACATCCAAAACGCCGCTGTTACCCATTGATGCCGATGGAACAATCGCGGGAGTACTGCCACCGCCAAGGTTCATCCAAGCCACATTGTCAGGCAAACTACCAGGCAAGGACGTCACAGGCAGGGAGTGGGAAGAAGGGCGGTGCTGTTGTGCTTGTGACTGCTGAGATGTAGGCACTTGTCGTGCCTGTACCCGCTGCACTGGCTGGGCATCAATGGCGTGCTCGGCGGCCGCGAGAGCATCCGAGGGTCTCTTGGGCGGTTCGCTCTCTGCATGGCCCTGGATACCTGAAACACTTGCGGGGACCGTATCGACAGCCGCATCATTGGGAGCAGCTGGGCCCGGCTGCTCATGGCTGGCCGTGCTCGCGGCTGCCGCGGCAGCTAACGCGGTGGAGGTGGAAAACATGGGCCAACCCATGCCGGCAGGAGCCGCGCCTTGGGCCATGGAACTCGCGCCACCGTTCAGTCTATGCATGGCCAATGCATTGTGCTGAAGACTTAGCCACATCTGTTGATGAAGCCACAACGCCTGGGGTGTGTACATGGGGCCGAGCGGCGCCCCTGCCACGATGGGCATCCCTGGCAAGACCGATGTTAGGCCAAGCATGGCTTGCTGCAAACCCGTGGCCTTGTTCGCGTTTGCCTCGACTGCCGCTGCCGCCGACCCTCCCAAGCCAAAGTGGGAGTGAGAGGCGCTGTGTGCGTGGGCCTGCGGTGTCAGGGAAGGCGAGGCGCGGCGAACCGCACTGTTTTGTGTATGTGTCCGTTTGGTCACATGTCGAATTGGGTCCTCATTCTCCCGCATGGCCTCCTTGGCAACCAGCAATGCAATGGTTCGCTCGGCTCGCTGCTTGCTATCACTTGCACTGAAGCGACTCGCATATGATGCTTCAAGCTGAGGCGCAAGTGGTTCGAGAGCCGTAGCGATACCTTTCCTATGCACCTGCACGCCGCGATGACCCGCGTGTCGCTGATGGCGACGCAGACTATAAACCTGTGGCAAGCCGAGACATGACAGCAGTTAGAGAGTTTGGTCACCCAGGGAGGAAAGCAGGGGGACAGGTACAGGTAAAAAAAAAAAGCTCGTCACAAACCCACACCTCACACGCGAGAGCAGGTGTAAATGATGTACTTGAACAACAGGACCGGGGCCACTTGCCTGACGATATTTACGGTTACACCGTTGGCACTCGTAGGGCCGGCAATTGCTGTGTGCGAGGAGATGGTGTTTCAAATGATCAAGACGCTCAAAGGCCCGCCCACAGCTTGCCAGTGGACAGACAAGCTCAAAGTTTGTCTCCTCGAGATCAGTCAGAGGCAAGTCATCATCGTCTTGAAAATCGTCGCCGCCGTCTTCGGCCCCACCTTGGTCGTCAGAGTCGGAGCCATTTGGGGATTGTGCTTGGCTGGCCTTAAAGTCACGCTTGTACTTGTCACCAGTGCTTGGCAACGAGTTAGTTTGAGGTGCGGCTCGCTTGGGCTGCTTGGAGGGAAGGCCAGTTGTCGGAGCAGTAGACTTTGAGCAGGTCGCCGAATCGATGTGTGGCATGGCCGAGGCAGCGCGTTTAGCAGTGCTGGACGACGCCTTGGTGGTTTTGCCAGGCAGACCGGATCCTGACTTGCCAGGATCCGCAACGAGAGTTTCTTGCGTGGCCGTCGGCACGGCCTTGCACTCACGTGCTACCTCTGGTTTTTCAGAGGCAGATGCTTTGTCTCGGGAGCGCGATTTGGCTTGCTCTTTGACTCGGTGACTGATGACAGCCGGGGTCGTTGAGGTCGGCACCATACTCTTGGCCGCTTCAGTTGACGCTTGATCCTGGCAGCGCTGATGCGCTGCCTTGACCTTGGACTTGGCCTTGGCATTGACTTTGGCCTTGACCTTCGATGCGTTCTTGGGTTGGTCGCGAGTTCGATCCTTAGACGTGGGCGCGACCTTGGATTTGATTTTGGGTTTGGAAAGGGATGAGTTGCTGGCAATCTTGTGCGTTGTCGAGTCACTGCCTAAAGGCTGGCTGTCGGAACTTGAAGCAGGTTCTGGTTCGGTCGAGTTTGCTGCCGCATATGCTGCTGCCAAAGCCAGTGTAGCCAGCTTTGGCTGCTCAGTGGAAGACTCAGACATGATCAAGCATTGCGCATGCGCTCACGGGCAAGATGGCGTTCGAGTCGACGGGATGCTTTGCTCCAGTCGATCAGGCGCTTCTAGATACAGACAGGTGACAGCAGCGTCAGCTTAGCCAATGATCAATGCAAAATAGTTGATGTCATGCACACCGTCTCAGCTGTTAAAGGCTTCTTCTGATATTAAGCACTGATATTAAGCACAGCCCAAAGGCATGCAAATTCAGGTGGGAGAATCAAGTAAGGCAGAGCACTCACAATGCAACACGGGACGAGAATGTTTGCAAGTGCCAAGATTTTAGTCGAGCGGGGGGATTGGCTGAAGAAACGTCGCTGAGCCGAATCAGGTGATGATCAATCTTATGTGAGAAAGTTGAACAGAACAAGGCGTGGCAACGCGACCGGTCTACATGGAAGCTATTGGCGTACAAAGTGGCCGCAATGACGCGTCGAGTCCACCGGGCAACAAGATCGAGCATCAACTATGAAACGAACCATAACACATCCGAGCGCATCAGAGCAGTAGGCAGGGGTTAATGGAGCGAACACTGCGGCATGAAGGAATCAAAAGGGAAGATGCAAGAGAGACAGCAGCAGCAGCAGGAGGAGGAGGAGGCGGAGGAAGGGGAGGCGGAGGGGGAGGAGGGAATCACACAAACAAGCCTCCACACGCCGGTACGCAGACCAGGAAAATTGCCAAGAAGAAAGAAAACGGTGTGTTAGGGTTCTGTGGTGGTGGGGAGTGCATGAGGTGGGAAGAAGCGGTGGGATCTGCACAACACATCAAACATGGGGCAGGGTTGACTATCGAGGCGGATGCAAACCGGCAACATGGCTTGCCGCCACACACACACACACACACACACACACACACACACACACACACACACACAGAACAAGGACGACTACGACATCAACAACAACGACGACCACGACAACCAGCACGACGAGGAAAAGCGGAGTGCATCCTCGACAAGCCACGACTCACGGCACAACCGGGTATGTTTGCTCGCCAAGTACCGACTAACAGACCCAATGGGAGGGAGTGTTCGTGGCCGGTGAGGCCGGTGTATGTTGAATGGGGAACCACGTACATAGTGGGCTCTCAAGAACAAACAATGCACCGAAAGAACGTGGGCATGGTGACTCCACGCAAAACGGAATCTGAACAGTGCAACTGGGTGTATGTGGTTTTGCTTCATGGTTTGGTTTGCGTGATGAGAGGCGGGATGATTGAATGATGTGAATGATGTGAATGATGTGAATGTGTGTGTGTGTGTATGTATGGCGGTACAGCCGCCGCACTCACCTGGGAGAAAAGGGTAGGGGAATCAAGGAAGGGGATTGCAAACAGAACCCGAGGCCTGTACGTCTGGGCAAGCGAGCAATTTGCCTGTGAGTTGGTCACTCTCTGATCAAACAGACGGGCAAGATCAAGAGGGTCTCTCGCAAGTGGCAGCGGGGATGGTTGATCACATGAAAACCAAAAAAGAGAGGGCGTGTGGTGGAGAGGTTACAATAGGAGGTGGTGGAGACGAATAGCCGGTGCGATCGGGGTCCGGACGC